TTCCAGTCAGGTCATTGTCCATTCATTTGAACTTCTGGTAAATACTTGTATTTTCTAATGTACCCCCCACATCTCAGGCATGCAGCCATTGGGTCTGTCATCTTTGTGTTCATATGTGTGTGTCTGTGATTTTGTGTGTTGCAGTAAGGCTCTAAACATTTCCAGATGGGTCAGGAATGAGTTGGAAACCAGCCCAAAATTTCTACGCAATTAAGGCTTTAGTAATTACGTCTTGACTTAGATGCACTTGGGATAACTTCTGATCATAGCCACTTATCTGCATCTTGTGACATGTCTAGCCATAAATCCTGGGGGTAAGCCTGGAGTCTAATATTCTTATCTGAACCTCAATATAATACCAGGGTTTATGCTGTAAAATAACACGCAGTATGGATGTTTGGAATAACTAATCCCGGCTTTGGACACAAATCCTTCATGCTAGGCTGCAATAGAGCTAACCTGCTGTCATTCTCTCTGTATTTAGGAAATCAATACAAATATAATCTTTTAAAGGGTTTAGCTGACCTTTTGTTCAAATTATAGACAAGGTTTTGGATGCCAGCTTACTGAGTACTTGTTTTTTCCAAGATGCTACTTGATACAAGCTTCCCTTCTATTTTCTCAATCAGATAGCCTAATCACTAGTTTAATTCCAACATTGTGCATTTTATAATAAAATAGAAGAAACATGCCATTTTTCTGGCAATAGTGCAAAAGAAATATTAGCCAAAACAACATTAAAAGTAGTAGTAGGAGTAGTGGCTTAACAGTAATAACTACTAAATACATCTATCACTCTATAATATTCGAAAACATTGGAATGAATGCTAAGTAGGGGTGTGCAAAAATACAGAAATATCGATATATCATATCGTGATAATGTGATAATACAGTATCATTATCATGGGCTGCTATATTTATATATCGCCAAGAGTATTTTTTGCTCTATTTTGTTAAATTATTTTGTTACAGCGCTACAGTTGTGTTGTTTGTTTAGTGGAAGGAAACTCGTTTATGCAACACATTTGACATTTTCACTGTTTTGATTATTAAAATTGGCGTGTTTCATATTAACTTTGCACAGGAAGTGGTTTAACAAAGACTTTTACTATCACAACCATGATTTAGTCATTATTTTTTATTGAACCGTATCGAATCGATTTGAAATATATCGAATCGAAAGTGCACTGTATCGAGATATGTATTGTATCGTAGCCTGTGTACCGAGGTATGTATTGTATCGGCAACATCTTAATGATAGACAGCCTTAATGCTAAGTTTAGTATTTAGCATCTTGAAATCTCCATTTGTTTACCTTTATATCACAATTTTGCAGGCAGTGAAATTCACAAGAGGCAAAGATTTGTAAAATAGAGAGAGAATTAGAGAATACAGAAACACTCAAAAAATTATAAATGAAACTAAAAACATGTTTAGGTATGTCTTTGATAAGAGAGCAACGTCATAGCATGGTAGCGGTTTGATGTTACCTAGCTTGCCAGATCCCATTTAAATCACATTAGCGCCTACGCAAGTCTTCTCTTAAGTCAATGACCCACTAATTCACTATTAGTTATGGAGTTAATAGTTTATAACCCTCTATTTTTGAGTGCAGTTGACAGTCAACACTTGAATTCTAACCTTTCACCAAGCACATTTGTACAGTGTCCTTCATCACAAGTATTAAAAGTCCAGGGCAGTTTTGAGGACAGCCAGTTATGCTAGGAATGTTAGTTCACTTCTACTAGAGACACAAGCTCTACACAAACCAGCTAGGCTAACACATGCACACCCTCACCACATGCCTGTTCTCTGCATGTGCATGTGCAGGAGATTGATGCTGCCTATGGGACATTCCTATAGAACTGTTTCTCCAGGCGGTAACAGGATATGCTCTCCCTCTGCACTGTCCTGGATGCTACACGGACGCACACACACATACCTTCATAACACTGATGAAAACGCGCTGCAAGATTAAACATAACAGACATGATGGTGGGGGGAGTATAACGGAGCGCTACCCAGGACTCACATGTTTAATAATAACAGGCTGCAAAAATCATTGGACATGTTGATATGTGATGGTGGGAGCAAGAAACAGGGAAAAACAGGCATGGAACAAATCTATAAATCCATGCAGTTTTCATTGGACACATGTTGCAACACAGTAAGCCTATGTGTGTGTTAAGCATACATGTGTTTTACAGAACATGCTCTACAGTAGTACATCCTAGTGTTACTAAAATTTTAAACTCAATTTTGATACTGTGAATAGACTTGATACGCAATACCCATTCCGATACCACGATGAAAATTCAACTCAACAGAATGTGATTTTCAACATCAAATTGTAGTACTTTCTTTTATATTTCTATATGCAGTTAGTTTCTAAAGTGTTGTGTGGTCTTATACTTGTTTTGATACAGCTAAGATCATTCTGAGATATTCAGGAAAGGTTCATTTCTGTCCTGTGAATGCTTGCCCCAGTGCCATTGATTGAGGGATAAGTCAAATGAAGAGGACAAACTTTTGCACCTATAGGCAAATACAAGAGAAAAAAAAGGGTTGAGAAAGTGCTATCTTCGGGATTTTTAAATGAATTCCTAATGATATAACTTTTCTGGAGGAGAATAGATGGTATACCACATGCTTGTCTCTATGAAGAAGATATGACTTTGCTTGGAACTATTGGAGATGGATGTTTAATGCCAAACTGTGGAATATTCTATCTAGACAAAGCAAGAACATCTCCATCACCAGAAAAGCTGCATAGTTCATCTTTTAATTTGTAGTGTATTAGTTTATTTGTACTTTCTTTACATAGAGATATAAACTACGTATTTCAGGTAGAGTATATGATGTTTACCCATGTTTATCTCTTCGCTGCTGTTGGAGGCTGGTAGTGCTAGGATATATTTTGCAGTTTGAGCTATTCAGAAAATTTTAACAGCATGTTGTACTTCCACTGGTCAGCTTTCAGAAAGTAAAGTCCTCAATGAACTCTGAATTATATTTTCTCTGGAATGTTTTAAGATAATTTTCATAATGAGTCCATTCTTCTATCCAGATCCTTATTTCTTCCTGTAATATAGTTTTTTTTTTAACATGATGACGATGTGAAGTCATTGATTCCCATGTGACTAAGTTCAGTGGTCATCGGCAAGGCCTAGGGCGTTTTTGACATGAGACAATGATCTCAAAGGAGTCACAGTAGGAGAGTGGAGATTCGGGTGCTTGAGCCAAGAAAAGCCAAGTGAGGGCAGGGCAGAGTAATCCTCCATGAGACCGCTTGAGTGACCACTGTGTGTGTCGTCGGCACAGCAACACTTCAGGAGGAAACAGGAAAGGAAGGAAGGGAGCAGTGGGTAGGGATGTTCCAGTAATGTGTGGATGTGAGTGTTAAGAAAAGAGAATGTGACATGGAAGACGAACTTGAAAATTGTTCATTTAAATAGGGCAAAAGTATCACATTATTTCATTCATATTGATCATATTTTAACACAAACATATCTTTGTCCAGTGTCTGAACCACATGCTATCACTAATATTGGCTCAAACATCGAAGCTGATCATATAAAATGTTTGTGTATGCTTCACTTCAAAGTTGACATCTACAAAAACTACTTCTAACTATTAATGAATCTGCTACTTATGGTACCGCAACATCTAATACTGCTGTTCTATTAGTGTCAGCATGCCTCTGATACTATTAAAGCACTTGCCTGCATTCTGCTATTCAAATAACACTACCTTACGCTTCCTTATTGCAGTTGTTACTCACCGAATAAGATATTTTCACATGTACTTATTTTCAAGCAAAAGTATAATATTAAGTATTAAGTCACTTTCCCATCTTACTTCATCATGTTATTATTTACCTCCGTTTTAATAGTTGTAATGGAATCCTTCCTGGTCTAGTCTGGAACAGTCTCCCAGTGTATCAAAGGTGAAATGCGGTGAAAAGACAACTTCCTCTTATGTCAGTGTATGTTTTAAGTGAACACTGAGCCAATTCAACCAAGTGATCCTCATTAACTCCCCACGCACACTTTCACATGCTACAAAGAGCCAGGTCAACAACACTTTATGGATGTAAACAGATCCTTTGAAAAGAGGGGTAATGAATGCAGCCAGTAAAACCAGGGGCCGGTCATAGGTTTTGTCACTGGCCCTGCTCCAGAGGTTGTCACGAATACAGGCCCGTAAAGTAGAAGTATGTGTGTGGACTGTGGATTGGCTTTGCAGTATTTTTGGAATGTCACTTTAAAAAGTAGAGCGATAATAAAAGTGCCAGTGGAGACGCTAGCACTATTTTAAAACTTGTCAACCTGATTATGTCATTGAAGAAACTATCTCCTCACAAAGATACAATGGTACATACATTTATTTTTGAGTCTCATATGTGACAGGACACAACCACGTGATCATGGGGCATGAATCCAGTAATATTTTTAATTTTAGAACCATCCAAAAGCACTCTCAGTATAATTGACAGCAACATCTATTAAGCACCTTTATTTATCTGATCAAGCCACAGAATCAACAGTTTTCAACAATAAACATGTTACTTAACTTAACCTGACCTCCTCTCTTCAACCTCCATCTGTATATTTCAAAATTTTTATGTATTTGGCATTTTGGTGTTGAAATAATGGTAATGCCATTTTGGTCAAATTAAATAATATTACTGATCATCTGTATATTTTACAACACTAAAGGAGGTCGTGGGACATCACAAGCACTCACCTCACTCAACAGATAATGTAAGCTCTCAACATTACAGCTCTACATTAGATGGCTTTGTTTATTGGTGCCCTCTAGTGGCAGACAGAAACAATAACAGCAACAGTGAACATGGTGCAGTGCAGACTGTTGTGTTGCATTTGGAATAATGAATCACTTTTGTCTATAGCATATTTCTGTTAAATCAAGTTGTATAATAATAATATAATATAATAAAATAAGTAATATAATAAAGAAACATTTTTCTTTATCTTCAGAAATCGTGGCTGGCGGCCGAGGATGTGAGTGACCCCGTCCCCAGAGAGCGAGCCCTGAAGAGCGTTAGTTTTCAGGAGTCAGTTAGCGTCATCACTGACAGTCCTGCAACCATGGAACTGGAGAGCCAGCAGATCCAACATGGCTGCCTCAGCATGTCACACAATGCAGTCGGCCTGAAAGAAACTCCTGACAGTGATGTTGTACAGGTGAGCATCTCCACACAGCACAGAGGAAATCACTTTTTAATGCATTAATCATTGCAATCATTCATTCCTTTTCTATTGACCTGCCTTACTTTCTGCATTAAACCTTATACCCCAGAACTATGTAACTTTTGTGATATGTCTCCATGGAGATTTTATTGCATGTAACTTTAGCATTATGCATTAAACTTATCTATCCTACATTAATTCAATTACAGTTTTGTATTGCAAAAAATGTTACATGCATTCTTACTGTGAGAGGTATTGCCTCTCCACAGATCTTATTTGTAACTTGTGTGCCATACTGTTGAACATCCCAGGTTACATGAGACAAGCAAGAAAGGTAACACAGTGCACCTTTTATAGCCTCTTTTGTTTGTGTCTAGGAGATCTGCTACTTAGATCAGGTGTTAGATGCTGCCTCAGATGCACCTACCAATGGAGATTCAACAGAGCACCCAAAAACTGCCAGCACAGATGGCTTTAGCCCCTCCTCCTGCTCTCCTATCAATCACCAATCACATGAGCAACACTCTCCTATCCACACCAACGGACATGTGCTGGAGGACTATGGCCAAAGCAAGCCAAAGTTTGAACTGAGGGCATTTCATGAGGAGAGGAAGCCTGCCAAGCTCTTCTCTCCCGGGGATGAACAGCCGGTTAGGGTGACGAGGAGGCGACCATCAGAGGAGGTATACAGCTGCTGCCATATATATCAAGATGCTGTGATTACAGTGTCGTAAAAGTATTTATTCGATCATAATTTTAAGGACTTTGTGAGGATCTTCCCCCTTCAAAAGATACAGTATATTAATTTGAATTGTAATATTGCTATAATATTGCTATAACATATCATATAGTCATATTAGCGATATGGTAACACAGTGATTAATAGAGTTTGCAAACTTGATTGTCATTGTCTTAGTATCTGGGTGGTTTTCTTATGGGCTCTCCTGTTTTCCCCATTGGCACACACAGTAGGCCAATTCCAGCTAGGTTACGTTTCTTTAGGCTACTTATAACAAGATGGTCCTAACAGAGTACCATAATACAAGGATTTGTCAAAAGGAGAGAACAAAATGTGCCAGTAAGTCTACCTTTCATATAATGTACTCCTGATTAATTACCCTCTGTCTGCGTGTCTGGATTCAGGTGCAGGAGTTGGAGCGTGAGCGCCAGGAGCTGATCAAAGACCAGGCTGTGAAGAAAAACCCTGGAATCGCCACTCGCTGGTGGAATCCCCCTCAAGAGGTACAGCCTGCAATTAACTATAAAGGCTATTGATTATGTTTATTATACATATCCAACTGTTTGGATAGTCTTAGATCTATAATCTAAAATGCTTTGTGTTTGCATAATGAAAGGTTCCCCTGGAGGAGCAGCTGGAGGCAGAGCAGCTTGAATCTTTAAAGAAATACCAAGAGAGGAAGCAGCAGAGACAGACTCATCCCCACACATACACACAGGTAAAAACCAAACATGTTTACATGGACAGTTTTAGAATTGTTCACACTCCTATTGGGTATAACACTTTACATTATTGATATAATTGCCGATATATTGTTGTGTGTGGGATTCAATATGCTACATTTAGTTGAAGCCATTTTTGGCAGGGGTTTTTAGGTTGAAAAGATAGAAGAGAATTTAATTATTGTGTTAGTGTTCTGCAAAAAATGTTCCAACAGTGTTCTCTTAAAAATGTATACATATTAATTTTTTGTGTAGAAAGTCAGATTTTTTCACTCTTCCTTGTCTCACTGCAGCCTCAACTGTCTGGCCCTCCCACTGTGGTGAGCTTTGACCCCCAGCTCACCCGGAAGGAGGACATTGTTGAGGAGCAGATTGATTTCAGGTTGGCCCGAAAGCAGTTCCTCCAAGACAACAAAAAAGACATCGCTCCTCACATCTACTCAGCCAAACCCTTCTCCAAACCACGCACCAGCCAGGGCAACAGTGACATCAGCGTTGAGACTGGGGAGAGTCATGTGACCTGGTCCGACGAGGGGATTGGAGGAGACTTCACATGCGCTCGGGCCGTAATGACCATCCTACCTGAAGACGAAGAAGCTAAAGCCCAGTATCAGTCAAGCTTTCACCCTGAGGAATCAGACTCCGGACTCGACGAATTATCTGTCCGCTCCCAGGACACAACCAATTTCAGTTTGGATAACGTGTCCGACAGTGGAGCCTCACTGCCCCCTACCCCTCAGCCTCTTACCCCTATCTCCCCTCCAACCCCACAGCCCACCACCCCCATCAATGGACAAAATGGCGGCAGCCCCTCTGAGGAAGATCTCGACTACCACGCCGGAGTTCTTGTGGAGAATGCTATCCAGAACGCACTGGCCGCTCAGAATGGGAAAGACTGGCAATCATCGTATTCTGACTCGAGCGCCCCAGCATCTCCTCCCGCTTCCAAACAACCCTTATCGAGTAGCCCACTGCCAGTGTCCTCAAGCAATAGCGTCCAATCTTCAGTCTGCTCCAGCCCAGAAGTTAAAAACCAAGAAAAACGTTCTGAAAATCTCCAAACTCCTTCTCCGCCAACTTCTCAGCCAGTATCGCCAGCAGCACGACCCAAAAATGGTGGGCCAAGAATCAAAATACAATCTTCTTATGCCAGAGCTCTTGCTGCGTCCGCTCCCTCCGTAAACCCAGCACCTGCCCCGGTAGCACAGGTGACCAGACCCACCCCAGTTTACCGTCCTCCATCTCCACCCAGCCCAGACAAACCAGAATTCAGCTATTTCAGTAAATACTCCGAAGCGGCAGAACTTCGTAGTACGGCCGCAGTGACAAAAGGCCCAGAGGTGGAGCCCGCGAGTGGACCTTTCCGTTTGAGATCCAAGAAGCAGAAAACCTTGTCGATGATCGAAGAGGAGATCAGGGCAGCGCAGGAGAGGGAGGAAGAGCTGAAGAAGCAGAGGGAGAACCAGCCTATAGTGGTGGTGAGGGGCAGCGGAGGAGGGACGATTAGCAGTAATAATGGGCCTGTGAGGACGGGAGTGAGGAAGACCACCATATCTCCAGCAGATAAAATGAAGAGTAACAGTCTGCCAACCAGGCTCACAATGACTGCCAAGACAGCTCCAGGTTAGTAAAATAAGATAATCAGATTAAAAATATAACTATTGAGGTCTATATTATGATATTCAAAATTATTAATACACTGGACTATAGAACAACTATATGAGATTTTTTAAATACAATTTCTACTATATTTGTATTAGTTATATTTTTGCACTTAAAACTTTAAATACATTTTGCATCTGTTTTGAAAAAAAAATTGTGATGGAGCATTTTTTTGTGTGTGTGTGTGTGAGCAGGAAAGATCGAGAAAGTGCGACCTGCTCCTCCAGTCTCACCCTCCCCTTCTGAAGGAGCCCTGTCGGATGCCGGCAGTGAGGACTCCTCTGGGTCATCACGCCCCAAAAACTTCATGCAGACGCTGATGGAGGATTACGAAACACACAAGGTCAAACGGAGGGAGAAGATGGAGGACTCTCAAGTAAGTCTTTTTCTCCTGTCCAAATACATCAATGAAAGGCACTGTTACTGGACTTTCTAGGAGTAATATATTTCATTTACAGACCACAATCATTCTTTCATAGCTCAAAGTAGTAGTAAGTAGTCACATAGATCATCTGACTTGTGGTTTTAGGAACTGTCCTGACCTGCTGGCATTAGCAAACATTGTCCATCACCAAAAGGGACATTCCCAGACACAGGAAATGAAAGTCGCTGGGGATTTCTCTGTTGTACAAGTAATTTCATGCTAGTCTTTTTTGAAGAAGTATGGCATTTAAGTTTAGGACAATATGACAAAAAGTGTAAAGATTTTGTTCCTCATATTGCGCTATCGGGATTCTCTATTTGATTTTTCTTCTAATGTTATAAATAACTCATTAGAAAGGGCTTCTTTCTGAATTTCTGAACGTGAACAAGACAGACTCTTCATGAGTGCCATTCATATCCAAAATAATCAAATTTGTTCCTCCAGAGTTCAAGTCCAAACTGCTACAATCTCTTGTGGTATTACACAAGACCTGATTGAAAGTATTATTCAAAAAAATGAAACATAATACAAGGCACTTCTTGATAAATATTGTATTATAACTGGACATTTTGCCACAATGTTCTTTGGTCATTGCTTTACTGTTTTGCCAATGACATTCTGTGTTGTTGTTGCCTCTCCCCTGCTGCGCGGTCAGTACGCCCGCTTGCTGCTGGCCAGTAAGGTGACCCACGAGGTAGCTTCACCCCCTCACATGTGTCTGCACTCTGCACTGTGAACTCTACCCTGCTCACAGACCTGGCTCAGATACACTAATCACAAGGGAAACAAACATTACTTAAAATAGAATGATTTTTTTTAACTAAATTAGGGCTGACCAAAATGCTTCAAGTATTTATATTGAAGAATGTCGATTTTCCATTCATTTTTTTTCTTTAGAGAACTTTACAGCCTCTGGATTACTGCCATTTCACAAATGTCTTCCTCCAAAGATTGAACTCTGCTCCAAACCACATGCTTTGACTGACAGAGGATTGGATGTATATCTCTACTAAGAAGACAATTGGCAATCTGAATCTTGATTAAAATGTATTAATTTCACAGTCCTTAACTAAATTAATGAAATGTATTTTCCTTAAAACCTTGTGTCTGAATCCAGGTCTGTTGGTATGTCACTGTACGCCCTTTGGTGTTGGTTTCGCATGTGCTTATTCATCAATTTGGTGTGACCTTTGACCTGCTTTTGCAACCAAAAATTTGTAGCAATAGGCATATGAAGTAACCCTTAGTCATAACAACCTTTATATATTTTACATAGTAATTTATAATGAAATAGATTTAGCATAGTTATGGGCAGTTATGGGTTAAAACCACAGTATGAATTTAAAAATGTCATGATAGATTAACGCTGTGAAATTAGTACAGTGCGTGTGTGCCTTTTTATTGGCTGTTACAATTTAATGTGTGTAATTTAAGTTTGAGGTTGTATGTTGTTTTTACCTGGGAAATCACACTCACCCATTAACTTGATCTTATCAGTGCGATATGTAAGCACAACCAACAATTCAGTGCTTTTGTTACCCACCATAATAAAGGCATAAAAATAATGCTTCAGCTAAAATAGAGAGTAATAGAGTTTTAGCATGACATTTTTTCCTTAAAGGTCCTATATTATTATATGTGAAATTGACTCTTGTCAGCTTTAAGCCATGTTAGAGTGTTGTTACCTCATAAAAACATATCTGGAGTTGTGTTTTGTTTCATTCACACATTTGATCCTTTATTATTAGTCTGTCTACATTTCCAAAGTTCAAAATGCTGTACCCCACCTTGTGATGTCATTAAGTTGAAGTTTTCAAGTTAACAGCTACATTTTACCTAATGTTCAGTAAACATAGGCAATTCTATGGCTGAATTATCCAAAATATTTCTTCTGAAGGTGGAGTTTAAAAACAGAGTGGAGCACTTTCTGTATTACCAAATGGCATGACAAGGTGGATCAGAATGTTTTCCATTTAAAAGAAAAACAGGGTTTGTGTGTTAAACATGTGTGAATGAAACAAAACACAACTTCGAGTATGTTTTTGGTGAGAAAACAACATTACAAAATTACGTAATATGGGCCTTTTAAGTTACTTGGTGTTACTATTGTCACTTGTTGGGCCATTATGCATGTACAATTTCACTGACTTATTTTTTGTGATTGGGTTTCAGTGGCTTGAAAAGCATTGGGTGGTGCATTTTTATTTATTTTTATTCATGTATTCATTTTTTTCCTTCCATTTTTTCCATTGTAGGTTCTGGAAGCTACTCGCGTAACCAGGAGAAAGAGCGACATGGCTATGAAATGGGAAGCTGGTATCTACACCAATGAGGAAGGTCAAGAAGAAGAGGAGGAAGAGGAGGAAGAGTGAAAAAATAATTGTTGCTATGGACCATTTTGACACATGAAAGCAGGACTCTAAGGACGATGGCATTGAAGGATTGAGATGGGAGCGAACAGTATTTATTTTACTTATAGTATTCTGACTATCATTGTGGAAATGCATTGACTTTTGGACCTAAGAACGAAAACCAGTATGTTGGAAGTACGTGGGAGACTATTCTAAATGGTATCTTGAAAGATGTGTTGAAAGAAAACATATTTGGAAAGTTGTTTTGGGAGTATAATTTTTTTGTTTTGTTTTTTTTAATAGAGATTGATTGGTGACGCTGAATGACTTCTTATTCATAGGATTTCACACTATGGAGTTTTTGTGGTGGCCTAAAAGTTAGTCAGAGAGATTGTTTTGCAGTGATATCAATTCACTCCACGGTTTTTGAAAATGATAGAGATAATTTTGCGATGAAAGACAGTAAAAGAATTCAAGCTAGTCTGTTTTTAGCACGTTGCAATGACAAGGCTAAATCCATTCAAAGTACTGAAATGGACCAATGGAAAAAGAGATTGTTGAATGCACAATTTGTATATATAGCATCTTTTTTTCAGCGCTGCAATTCCAACAGGCCTTAGAGAACATAGGTAGATGTGTCTTATAATCACTACAGTGGCTTGACAATGTCTATGAAGTAGCTTGATGGGAAATTGATGAACTGCATAATATAAGTTAATCTTAAGGGCTTTTTAAGTGTTTCTATACTTAACGGTCTCTTATTTTAGCTTTTTGGTTTGTAATGCTTTGTGAACTTGCCTTTTCTGATGTAAGCAGTTTTTCATGTACTATAATACCAAGGTAGGATTGTCTATCGCATAAGCATATACACCTGCAGGGCTACTTGCTTGCTGGCGTTTTGGGAAAAAATATTGAAAATGTTTTGTAAAATTGTTGTCATACCAAAAGTTTGTAGTTTGAGATAATCTTTTGAAAGTTGCCTAAATTTGAAGTTTAAGACATGCTGATTGTGAACATTCAACTAAAAGCCTTTTTGATCATAGTTTAGGACATAATGATAGCAAAGAAGTATGTTTTTATATTGCGTTGGACAATAGACTGGAGAGTTGTCTGTAAGAATTAAATTATGCTATTATACTATGAATTATGGATTGAAAGATACAATATTTCTGAACCACTGACAATGAATGAGTAAGATGTTTTTAGGGTGGCTTTGAGCATTTTTACATTTTTTATTCAAACCAAAGGTCACCATTTTGATTGTCTACCAGTTTTGTTTGTTCGAAGTGTCCTTTAGCTGATAATAGTGTAATAGTGAAACTAGGCCTATGTATTTATTTCAACAAGACTAGAGTTAAAAGTGAAAGAGTAAAATATTCTAAATACAAAGAACAAAGAATCTCCTTAACTATTTAGTAATATGTATTTGAATCAGCGTATTAAATAGACACAGCATTCTAGCTAGTCTTTGTAGAGAAGTCAAGTTTTCTCATGGTAGACTTAGATATTTGATTTAAATACACTTGACAACTCATTATGATGGGCTATTCGGTTACAATGACTGCCACATACTGTGTTGACTTTTGCAAAATGCTTTTTTGTATGTTACAAAGAAACAAAATGTGTATTGTGTCTAAAAAGTCAAATTCCTGACAAACGCACTGTTGGCCTATGTCAGATTTGTTGCAATTTGATGTTTGAATTCATGATGCAGAGATGATTTTATTTATCATTTTATTGCAGGTTGCTTCATCCATTGGGAGTCATAGTGCAAAATGTGTGTGTGTTGAAGCGACCCTATATTAAAACAATATAACCTCTGTTCCTATGTTAACCACTTGTATGCTCATAACCTGCTTTGTTCTTTTATAGCACATGTAAGCCTCACGTATACACCCGCTATTACATACTATGAATATTTTCTCAATAAAAACAAAATACTTTAATTAACTGTGTGGTTGTTGTTTCTTCTCGATCATATTGCCTATTTATATGACCAACTAGGTCTATGATTAATCCTACTATGATACTGAGTGCCAAAATTGTCACAGCAAAAGGGTGTCTGGTTCAATTTCAGCCCTGCTACTAACAACAGCTGGGTCCATGTTGAAGAAATACAGAGTAAAAACAGGCTTTTTGCTGTATGGATAAGATTATTCCTAGTAGCCTATTGTCTTTCAAATTTATGACAATACTGCACAGCTTCCTTAAATGAAAGATGCAGAAATTGATAGGATAGACTACCTCATTTTAGGAAAAGGCTATATGCTAATCTGTAACACTAACATAGTTACAATTTAAGAAACAAATAAAATAGGGAGTGACGACAGTTCCTCTTTGTCTCTAAAATCCTCAGTTTCTGTTTCTGTACATATTTCTGTATGGCTGGTTGGCCGCAGGACGATTGAGGAAGTGAGGAAGTGAGTCTGAGTCTGTTGTTTGGATAAGACAAGCCCTGTTACAGGCGACAGACAGGTGCTTTCTGAGCTCCACGCAGCTAGTTGTTTGTTTCTTCGAAAGTTAGTTCCACAGTGAGTTTGGTGGATAGGCTTCTTCAGGTGCCACCATGACTTTCCCGGCTGTGGTGCACTCACTCCGGGCCGGACTGTGTCAGGTGTGGCCGGTGATCGTGTTGGAGGAGCTGGGTAGCAGTTTGTTTGACACCGCTCTACAGATGGTTGTTCTGGATCGCTCTGCCACCGACCCTGACAGCCACAGCCAGCAGATCGCCATGACCAACTTTTACATGATCTACAATCTCATCGTTAAATTCACTCCAATTCTTCCTGCGCTGTTCCTGGCGCGCCTGGGGGACCGCGGGTGGAGACGGTTGCCAGTGATAGTGCCGCTGGTCGGGTACCTTGTGTCCAGACTGGCGCTGATGCTGGTGGTCATCTTTGGTTTACCCATCGAGGTGATGTACGGAGCCGGGGCGCTTTTCGGTCTGTCAGGGGGGTACGCCGCCTACTGGCCAGGCGTCATGACGCTGGCGTCACTGGCCTCCACTGCGTCGAAGAGATCCAAGGTAAGGTTCAGCAGTCTGCTACACTCAAACTAAAACTTTCAGGAGTGGTTTGAACAGGAGAATGGATTATGGCCAATAGGTTATAAAAAAACGATTCTACACTACTATAAATAACGACCTATAAATGCAATAAAATAGCCAACAAACCCTGCAGCCTGCACACTTGTTATCTAGGCCTATCACATGCCATGTAAAACCATGTTGTATTATTTTCTGGTGTTTTTATTAAGTCAGTGTCATGGAGTGACCCCGTGTGAATTGACTGCATGGGAGCCCATGACCAGAAGTAGGCCACTTAAACATTAAGCATTGAAATTATTTAGACTGAGTTCTGTTCCCTCATGTTTCTTCAGACCCTGATGCTAGTGGAGCTGCTGTATGGGATAGCAGGCCTGGTAGGCAGTCTGGTTTCAGGACACCTCTTTCAGCTGTACACCGCCAGTTTGGGACATGGCATCATCCTGTTAATCATCAGCACCATTGTAGGTGTGCTTTGCCTCCTACACGCTACACTGCTGCTTCAGGTTAGTGTGCCACACTTTTGTACATCAGGGGTTCATCCTGTGGTTTCAGAGTTTCTTTGTTTGCATACTTGCCCCGAACCAGAGATGGGGGATAATCCAAAACCCTGAATCACAATAGGCTGTATTTCTCAAAAGCAAATCCGCACATGATTATGATTTCATTGAATATAGTTACCCACAGCCTATAATTGACCATCTTGCCCAATCTGGTCTTGTCTGATCTCATAAGCTAAGCAGTTTTGGGCCTGGTTACTACATGGATGGGAGACTGGTGAAAAGGTAATTCGGGGGGGAGGCAGTGGCTCAGTTGGTAAAGCACACAACACCCCCAACCTAAAGGTTGACAGATATCTGAACCCATCAGTGCATTTACATCATTGGGTTCTTAGTGTCCTGTGTGCACATCCTGGTGTGTAAATGTGTAAACTGTTCCTTCATGTATAACATGTGTTACTTGGATGCACTACACAATCAGATAATTGGATACATCAGGTTTACTATTTTTGCAGGTGACAGATGTCTCCAACAGAGAGGAAGAAGATGAAAGTTGTGGCCTTATTCCTCCTTCAGTTCACAGCGAGCCTCCCATTCAGAAAAACTTACCCAATATCATTCTATTGTTCATTTCCGCCATCTTGTACAGCTCTGCAGTTGGTGGGGCCATAAATGTACTTGGGGCCTTTGTGATGAAAGAGCCACTGAGTTGGGATGCCAAACAGGTGACAATTTTTGCCCCCTCATTCTATACATTTACACAGTGTTTAGGGATGGTTTGATTTAGGTGTTTTTGTCTTCTCTTTAGGTGGGCTATGGAAATGCAGCAGGCTGTTTGATCTTCATCACCAGTTATTTGGGGCTGATTGTTTTGCGTCGCTACTTCAGTGAGACCAGTGTCATTATGATCGGCATGCTGTCATTTACCTCTGGGATTTACTTCATGTCCTTTGTCACGACTACGTACTTCTTTTATCTGGGTAAGTCTAAAAGTATCCCTCCTTAACATAACAAGTAGTAGGAAGTACTTTCATATATCTGTCGTGACTAGTAGAAACTGCTAAAACTAAATTGAACGTACTTCCCTAAAACTACAGCATCAAGTAGTGAGCAAAAATGGCAAAAATGTTTAAAATATCTTGATATTGTTTTGTCTTAACTCGATGCTGATATTCAAACAATATTATGACAGCCCATCCAAATTGTGCTATAATGTACCAGCATACACTACCAGTCAAAAGTTCAGGATACACTTTTTAATTTTTTTTTCGTTTTGTTTTCTTTTTTGTCTTTTCTTCATGTTTTTCTTTATGTACTTTCTTCACATCATTCATTTGACGCAATATATATTTAATTATGTAGAAAGGAAAAAAGTAAAATAACTCATAACAACATATTTTTTACATGTTAGTAGCCATCCTTTGCTTTGTTGACAGCTATGCAAACAGTTAGCCTTCTCTTCATGCTGAAGTCTCCTGAAATGGTTTTCACTTTACAGTTGTGCTGTACTAAGTTAAAAAAAAATATTCAAGTTCAAAAAGTTCAAAAAAGTGCAAACCAAGGTTCAAAGCAAAGGGTGGCTATTAAAAAAGATTTTGATGCCTTCAGTGTGAATCTGCAATGTAAATAATCATGAAAATAAAGAACAAAAAGTGCGTCTAACCTTTTATCTAGTCCCGTATATCTTGATTGAGGATGAGGTATTGCAAATATCTAACCTCTAGTTGTTAATACTGAAAAAGCTGGCTGCATGACCTAATAACCTACACCAAACCTAATAATAATAAGTGATGTATTGTTTTCTCCTCAGCTCGGTCACTGAACCTGCTGGCTCTCATCCCTATGCCCACAATAAGATCTCTGCTTTCTCAACAAGTCCCCAAATCCTCCTGTGGTGAGTAATGCTAGTATTTTTCAATAGACTGGTGAATTATGGAGTACAAAAGTAATCTGGTATCTGGTTAGCTTGTGTTGCAGTCTGTCTGCAAGATAACCCAATAACCCTTTTTTAACATATATGTTATAAGTATTTACAAAGAATATGGACAGTTTTGAGATAAAAAAAAAAAAATAAAAAAAAATAAAAAAAACTACAGATGGTACCATTTTGATTTTTTCATTGCTGTGTGACTGATAGCATAGCATTTGGTTGCAAAGTTGTATCTAAAACTTTGAACATGAACAAGTAGTGAATCATTTGTTGACGTATTAAGGGTGCATTCATACTTGCACAATCACCACATTAAATTTGGGATTAAACTGGGACTAAATCTTTGTAAAACTGAAAAAAAATCTACATAGGGACTGACTGAAATTAGGCCAAAACCAGGACTAATAAAGGACAAATATAAAAGCACCAAAAATCAGTGAGAAATACAATTTGATTTTTTTTTTTTAAAGAATAAAACTTTCTTTCTAAGTTTTATGCATTTTTATACTTAACACTAAACATGAGTGAGAGCAGTTTGAAAAAAAAAATAAATAAAAAATAAAAATTTGGTGTCACGACAGCAACAACAAGTTTGTTTTTTTAAATATATATTATTATTGTAGTGCAATGTTTTATTTAGATTATGCATCATTTCAGTGGGCAAATGAACTCCCACTCTCAGTTTGAACTGTTTTAAATGAGCTTTGGTTATTTCTCTCTGTGATTAGTTTGTTGTTAAAATTAGTTCTTACATTGGCTTCTGTGATAGAAATAAATATACACAGAGCCAGTGTTTTGAGCGGCTCTTTGAAATGAACTGATCCAAAAGATTCAGATTTCATAAAGGAGCAGAAAGTCTCGTCACTAGTTTACAGTATTATAGTCTCTGATGTACCTCTAACAGGAGTGGCACATGCTCACAGTGTCTTATCTTGTTGAGCTGGTTTTTACATGTGTTTCCAGTAAATAGGCAGGTTGGAGGAACTACTGTAGGTTGTTCATTGACATTAGACAGGGGTTTAACTTTTTTCTTTGAATGATGGATGAGATTTGAAAGGGCTTGTACCTGATTTAAATTTGTTCTTTTCAAGATAATTGTGTTTTACATCATGCATCTAGAGTAAACTAGAGTAAGAGCAGCTACATAAGATAAATATTGAGACTGCAAAATATAATCTACTCATTTTACATTACATGTTTCCGGTTAAAACTAACATAGAAGCTACTGTCAGGGTTACCTCTTTTAGTCCAGTCAGGCATATTGTTCACTAAGACTCCTAGACACTTGATATTACACTTATATGAGGTATTAACTGCTAACATATAACATATTTAGATCACCATGTTACCTTTTTTCTGTTTTGAAAATGCTGTATTTGTCGAAAAAAACAAAACATTAACTTAAATAAATGTTATTTTTATTTTAGATGCTCATTGTTGGTACTGTAAACTGTTTTGAGGGTACGAATAAGGCTTGGGAGAGAGATCACTAAATTACTCAAACATGCATGGATGGCTTCTAAAACCTCTTCAAACTTATTATTATTAGTATTTATTATTATCATTATTATTATTTTTAAATGAGGTAACTTTATAACATTGTAGAACACTTCAGTAAGTCAATTTGCATAATACCACCTCTACATGCGTCTAAAAGCAAATAACAGCATGACACTTTGTTAGACAGTTGTTTATGTAAATCTTCTATTTAAATATCAGAAAACACTACATCAGCAGGGCTAATGGCTCAAACTAGAACATGTTTCTGATTCATGGTTCAGAATGGGTACAAGCCCTTTAACTCCTGGCATTGTGCCGCCTGGTGTTGTGCACAGGTATGACCCTCACCGCGCTGCAGGTATTTCTGAAGTTTGGGGCAGCGGCCTACATCCCCGCCTCCACCAAGATCTACCAGAGCACGCTGGACTGGTTCCCGGGGTTTGTCTTCACACTGTCGAGTGCCTGCTCTGTGCTGGCAATGATCCCCATCAGGTGAGATGCAACTGATACTGTAATGAGGTCAATGAAATAACGCACATTTTGGGTTAGAAAAATTTGTTCAATTTTTTTTTTAAAACAAAAAACCAACAACAATATAATACGTCAAATTATGGTTAAGGTTGACGGGCATTATCCAAAGGCAAATAACATCTTAAATTTATCTCCCAACATAAAGAAAATGAAAAGATAAACAAAGATTTAAAAATTTAGAAATTAAATAATTATTTTAGTTTTACAGATCTGTCTGACCAGTCTACCTTCTATGGAACAGAAAATATCTGTGGATCCCATTTTGTGTTCGAAATCAATCCATCAAGCTACAGTGATTACCATGAATTACTTCTGGTGTTTATTATCCATTTCCTTTTTTCAGTATTGTGGGATGCAGAACCCAGAACTTACAGTATGAAACTATCCAGGGAGACTGAGACTGCCAAACAGACGCCAAATTGACCCCAGACACAGAAGTGGTTGAAGGATTCACTGTTCATACAAAATGAAGAGTTACACAGACACAGGCCTTGGGAAGGTACTTATATGCACAGAAATATACCATAATATGGTACCATGCAGCTGACTTTGTACTGATGTAGCCAGAGACATCTACATAAAGTACTTTTACTTGAGGAACTTTTAGAATAAAATTATACTTCTCCAAGTAGTTTTCAGACACCAAGTCTACAAAAACATGATAGAAATCTTTATGTTGACAATATACATTTTTTAAGTTTCTTGCATCACTTCTTCATGTATGATTTAACTTTTATTTTTTGGTGTTTACTTTACTAGATTTTGCACATTATTGTTTTGTTGTTCCAATTCCAGACGTTACATCCAAACAGTTACTTTTATAAGTACTATTACATGAGTAGTTCTCCAAAATATTATTTTTACTACCACTACCTGAGGTAGACACATTTCTTTGCCAAGTGAATTTACAAAGCAAAAAATCCTGCAGGTCAGGAGTATAGTTTCCCTTTGTTACTGTATATATAGTATTAAAATGTACTTTGTTTATGTATAAAAAGCAGTCATTCCACTTGTGCAGTTTCTTAATGGTGCACTATTATAATTATGTACATAAATAAATTATTTAACATGCAGTCTCTCTTCCTTATGTTATGTATTCCTCAGCAAAAAAAAAAAAAGACAACCAGATGAGTATCAAATGCATTCATTGATTTATTATTGGTCCGATATATTTCAAAATCATTTGAGGTAATTGCATCAAAACAATATACAAGCTTATTTATAATTACAACACGATGTTATGAACATCCAAATGTACAGGACTGAAACGTAAACAGTGCACACTGAGAGGAGGCGGAAAGGACACAAGCTTGACTGAGCTTGTATAGATCATGTGACTTTGAACTTCATTTGATTGGCTGGGTTTAACACGTATTAAAAATCTATTAAGAGGAAGACAGGAGGAAACGGGGACATTTGGCTTAAAAAAGTGTCAACATTAAAAAACTCCCCAGCTCAATACCACTTGAATCTGTTTATCTGTCAGACTCAGACCTGGTTATTACAGAGATGTCAGCTACATTTAGTGCAACAGGAGATCAGCAGGCACACAGTATCACATGGGCTTTACAATGGCTATGGGTAAGATTACATAATACAAACTCTTCCAAAACTATAGTGGGGTTCCTCTCAGCACCTGCAGAGCAAAAGTCAGACTATATTGCGTTTATTTAAATTTGGTTACTCCATATTTACATTACATCATAGTGCAAATCTTTCTTTGCCTTGTGTTAGTATGCCAGATGCTGAGACGAAACCCAACTTTAATTTCTATAGAAAAATAAACTGGCTTGTACGGTTATATTATTGAACAAAGAACGTCGTATTGACACTCCACTGGGTCAGTATAGTTCAGTGGAAAGACCTTAGATTTACTTATTATTATTTATTTGTTTATTCACAGTACAACTTATTACAAAAGTAAATAAGAGCAAAGTCACGTAATGTATTTTTCAATTTTGATAAAGAAATTGTAACATTTTAAAGTATTTTACAAAAATAATTTCTTTTTCAAATTGATATTGTTTTTTATTTCATTGACAATGGTCAATGTTATATTTAGGAAAATGTGACTGAAAATTTAACAGTAACTATAAGTCACGCAAATAAATATATTTACTTTAGTTTTGATATATGCATTTTTTTCATAAACATAGTATTTTAAAACATTTGAAATTTGGGTTTTGAATAGCTGATGTGCAGCAGTAAATGGTTGTATAATGGAAATTAGATGTTTGTAGAAAATGTTTAGGTTTAACATAAGCAGCTACATCTTTACGAGGGTTAGAAGATTTCTTTAATACAAGTATCCTTATAACTGTTGAATTTATTTAACTTGGCCAATTTGTGCTGACAGAGATGCTGATTTTTGCTCAGCTTTTTTTGTTTGCCCATAATCAGACTAAAACAAACATTTTGATACAATTTGCTAGCCCTTTACTGTAACACTAAGATATACATTCTTGTCACAACACATTAAAGGTGCACTATGAAACTTTTCTGGTGAAGAGTATGCCACCTGTTTGTCTCATTTTGAATGTTCCAAAGAATAACCTTTAATCTATACTACATAACTACATACAGAAAAAAAACAAGGCCAATTTACAGGTCAGATCTGTGGAGAGGTGACATCGCTCGCAGTAAGAACACTTGGTTTCCAAGTATTTTTGAGCTAAAAACGAAATAATGAAATATACACAAGGTGGTTTAATGCTATACTTTGGAACATTACAGACATAACAATAACATCTCCATCAAGCAGGTAGCGGACCAGGGGCTACCTGCTACCAGAAATGTGCACCTTTAAAAACATTGTGTAACCATTATAGTATACTGCAATTTCTAAGCAGAGCTTTTCGTACTTTGTCAGTTCAATGCAAGCTTTTAATCAGCAATTATGCTTCATGTTACATGCAACCATAGCTGCGAATGTTTGAATCATTATAAAAATTACATGTATTAAAAACACACACTTTTTATAGGAGAAAGACACTGACTGAATATAGAAGAATATAAAATTAAATCACAGACTGGCCTACAAATGCTACAACACAGACTTTAGTCCTTTAGCAAAGAAGCAACGCTGGTAAACAAATAATTAGCACCACTTGTGCACAAATGACACGCTTGAACCTAGGTGAAAATATAATGTCTAAAAGCTTATAAGAATAATTGAAGGCAATTATTAAAATATGGAAACTTGTGTTGTATCAATTCATACATGTGCTTATGGTCTTTCCCTTGTTTTCCCTGTTGTCACATTTTTTAGTATGAAACATAAAAAATATAAAAGAAAGATATTTCTAAACATACCATAAGAATCAGTGAATATTGTCATAAATAAAAGTATTGATATAGCAACTGTGGTTGAAAAACTCGCAGAAAGCAGAAATGACCTCATACTTGCACACAGAGATGTTGAAACTAAGATTACACATTATCAAAGGGGGCTTCTGTTTTAAGGCAACATAGTGTAAGCAGGGGGAATTCGCCAATCTGACTTCTCAAATGCATTATCAGTCAGATTTGTAATGGGAGAAGAGGTTAAGTCAAACTGAAGTGTCACTGTTCATATGTGATAGAATTTAAGGATGTGAAACTGCCTTACAGTACTGACTTCTCTAAATGGTTGCTTGTGTTGGGAGTAAATGCATTTTAGTAGAGAAGACATAAATACAACTGATAGCTTGTGTGTGCTTTGAAATTTTGTTGAATCTAGAATAGTTTTAAGATTTTTTATATTGCGAAATGTACCATAAGTAGTCCGGCCAGCCGGACCTCTATTAATTTGTATTCACTCTTTTAACATGTTTTGGAAGATGTGAAATCTTCCACTTAAACTTTACACAATTATATATATATAAGTTGTCATGTTATATGAATGTACTATTGGAATTGGCCTTGTTATTCCAACTGGTTTTATGTCTATCCAATTCCAATCGGGTAAAAACAGGCCTATTGGAACTTGAGAAAAGAGGGGATTAGGGATTGAACAGAAAAAAGTTTGTATAAATCTCTAAAATGTATAAGATTGAAAAAGCAAAACAGACCCTTTTAAGCGACATCAGAGCCAACTAAACTGGATCAGAATATGAATATTAAAAACAAAACATAAATCAGGCCACCTCATGCACCTCATGCAAGTACCGTGATGGTATACTTGTAAAAAAAATTAAGTGAGAATTTGAGAATTCAAACTGTATTTCATGTAATTAAGAGATGACACCTGAAAAAATGTTTATTAATTTATAATGCTTAATTTTTAATAATGGAATATAGAAATAGCAGATCCAACATGGCGTCCGCGTCTCAAAAAGCCCTGTATATGACGAGTGGTGTTGGCAACCGTAAAATTACACATTTAGAACAATTGTAAGAAAACCTGTCTGTACATAGTTGGTATGTGTCCATTCTCCCTGCTGTTTGTGAACTTGCCTGTTACCTGCTTCACTGTCTGGTGGTGTCCCTTTCTTAGACAAAAGATGATGCCCGATTGGTCCTTTTCCTTGGCATGAGACAGAGTAATGCACAGGGAGGAGCGAGAGAGAGGGTTGGGTGGTATGTTCAGTTTGTCTCACTGGTTTTGTCCTCAGTCTGTTTGTCTTGGAGAACTGTGATGAGAGACTCCCACGCAGACTGGCACTGTATGCACACAGAAGAAGTTAACTGTTGTGAAGAATTTTAGCAATACTTCTTTTTGTTTTAGTAATTTTCTACAACAATACAGCCACCAGGCTTGGGGTAGTACCAGTACTACCCCAAGTTTATTTCTATTCCACAGACATTTCGATTTTTTATTTAAGAAGGGTTGTCATTACATTATGACAAAAAAGCATCTTTACATATTACTAGGGGTGTGCAAAAATATTGAAATATCGATATATCGTATGATTTAATGTGATGATACAGTATTGATATCGTGGGCTGCTGTATCGATATATCGCCAAGAGGTTTTTTTTTGGTATATTTTACTAAATTATTTTGTTACAGCACTACAGTTTTGTTGCTTGTTAAGAAGAAGGAAACTCGTTTATGCAACACATTTGACATTTTCACTTTTGATGTCTTGATGATTAAAATGGGTGTCTTTCATATTCAGTTTGCACAAGAAGTGGTTTTGAGATATATATCGTATCGCCAATACGTATCACAGTTGTGAAACATTGTGCTCAATTTACTGACATGTGGGTAGAGATTATATATATATACACGCACGCACACACACACACACACACACAAATATATACATACACCTATTTGTAGTTTTGTAGAGCCACAATGTAGAGCTATAGACAGCTTGCTTTTTTCTACCTCATTTATACAGTACGCGCTTTGTTTAACCATTTGACTTGCGGTGCCCTTGTAAGGCTTGGAATTTAACAACAAACTAAAACACTGCAGCCCTCAAATGTAAAATCTAAAACTACTTCTAAACAACTGGAAGACAAGTAAATTTGTATCTTTTAAGGACATATTCCATACATCCTACCGGGTTAATGATGAGGATTTTTTATGATGGATTTTTTTTATGCTGGATGCCCTTCTCGCAACCAGCCACATACTAGGACCAGTGAGTGAAGTGGCTTACTGAAGGATTCAAGTATTGTAAATCTTTGTTATCAAATGAAATATGCTGTGGCCATCTGTTTTATTAACTGTACAGTGTATGCCATTGGTTTATATCAAAAGGTCAACAACACAAGCAAAGGGTTTAAATCAGAACATTATTCATGACAAATTCTTTTACTGAAACTAAATAGAAAATTTTGATTGGTGAATAATTTGTAATACCAAGTTTACCTTCTCGTAGTAGGTAATGTTTTTGTCGGCCATGCCTGTGAGAAGCTGTTTAAAGTCTTGTCTCTTATTCCTCTGCCAGCGTTCCCAGTCTGCCTTCAGGTCGGCATTAAAACACTCCACTTTGTCCTGGCATTTCTCCACCTCGGCTGGAATCTATAGCACAAAATAACAGGGAGAACTACCACTACTGGACTCTCCAAATCTACAAGCTATAGGAGCTGGGAGGTCCTGGGGTTTGGGGAAAAGAGTGCAGACTGAATTTTTAAACTTACAAGAGAATGATTAGTGCAAAAAGGTGAACTATGTCACCTTTCAGGCAGAGGACCTACTTGTCTCCATGGAGATGTTATAGCTTTGCCTACAAACGTCCACAGTATGCCATTAAACTTATCCATCTCCATAACAATAAGCAAGTGATTAAACCTAGTGTTACTAAGCAGACCAGATCTGTATAACAAGTATTCATGTTTTTCAAGGTCATTTTTGATCAATAAAATACATCAATAATTAAATAAATGGTATATGATAGATACATTTAATACCATACTGTGGAATATCCCATGCAAAACAATAATGTGACCTTAGAGAGACACAAGTAGTGGAACAGAAAAGACCCATCAAAAAAGTTACATAGTGCATCTTTAAGAATTACCAAATGTTGTTTTGTCTATGGAGGACAATAGGTGAACCCATTAGTGATTACATTGTACTTACTGGCGTTTTATCTTCTTGTCTCCGTAAAATAGCTGCCTCAAGTCGACCTTCATACTCTGCTTGGCACTGGTCTCTCTTCCTTAGAACATTCTGTAAAAAAAAAAGCAGATGATCAGATAAAAAGTATTACATAGTTTCAGTTCTTGCAAGATGTTTAACAATCATGATGATGATTCAGGTCTTAAATTTACTCTTTTCAAAGTCAAAACCAAGACTAAAGAAGTCATGGTCTAATACGTCTTGATCTATATTACTCTGTCCATTTTGCTTTATGATTATGATATAGTAACTAAAACATACCAGCAACAGTGTTTTCTAGAAGTTTTGTTGAGACGTTTCCGAAACAAATTTTTATTGTAACAATTTTATCCCATACAATCTAGGGATTGAAAATCAGATACTAATTGATACTAGGTTTAGTAAACAAGATACTCTTTTGAGCAGGTATCAATACATCACGGGACACATTCACAGGCCAGAAATGAATCGTTCATCATTAGCTTTAGAATGATTTTGAGCTGTATCAGAACAAGTATAAGAGCACATAGACAAGAACACCTGGAGAACTGACCTGCATGGTTGAGGGATTACACAGCTATAAAGTCATATGAACCACAAGTACTACAATTCAGTGTTGAAAATGCCATTATATTTATATAAATGCTTTTTTTAAAATTTTCATTGTGGTATCGGAATCAGTACCGAGTATAGAGTCTATTCCTTAGTATCAAAATTTACTTTAAATTAAATAAAATAATTTAAATGTACTAAAATTATACTATTGTGTCAACAACACTAATACAATCTGTGGTGGACTAGAAATTTCACTTATTGATACTATTTAATCTTTAGGTAGTCCTTTTTGTATAATCCTTTTTTTTGCAGTACTATATAATAAAATTTTTTATATATAAAAAATTACTTTTACATAGTTATGAAAATACAATGAGCAACAAAGTGTGATTTTCTTATGACAATCATCTATAACACAGAAAACACATATATACAGATATAATATATTATAACATTATGAGTTTTTAATTCTAGCTGCTAGAATAAAAAAATATTTTCAAATGAAAGAGATCCACACTAAACTCACACATGATTAAATTGAAACCCTGACTTATTGTAACTGAAATGTACTTTGGTGAATGGCCTGACAAAACATACTGTATATCTGACCAGTGCCTCACCTTCATGGATTCTATGTAGAGAACGTATTCTCTGAGTACGGGGAGGAAGTCTTGGCTCATATTTTCACTCAGGTCCTCCATAGCTCTGCAGCATGTAGACACACTCCCAGCTACTCCCTCCAGGGGGCGCTGCAGCTCCTCCTCCACCGCTGCCCAGCTGCTGTATACAGAACTGTACTCCCGAAGCTCTGTTAGGTACTCTGAGGAAAACAAAACACATTTGAATTTAAAATAAAAAATTTCAACAAAGCAACAGAGCATATGGTGACTTTATTATGAACTACACTGATAAAGTATATTAACAGTTAATTAGAGTTAAAGATTAAATTGAAATTGCACTTTGACTGTATATAAATCTCAAAAACTCCAATCTTTTAAGTATCATAAACCAGTATCCTATCATAACTAAATATTCTGTCTTAATCTGTGTAAAAAACTGATAACCTTTTAGTTTAGATTTGTATTAATTTTGTCAGTTCATTGGACACTTTTAAAATGTGAACATTGAACAGAATCCTATAATTAAAACATAAATCTTATCACAGTCAGAAAAAATGCACATTTCCAAAACGTTCAGCCCTACTGTTGATAAGTATTGTAATAACATACGTTGATTTGTATATTGTGCAGTTCCAACTGACAGGAAAAAAGCACAGGAAGATAATAAAACCAATAAAAATACAAATTCCTGACACTAGCTTGAAATAATTGCCATGGCGCCACTGGCTTTTATTTGACTTTACCACAATTACATTAGCTGTACCCATTTATGGTTTAATTTCAAAGAACGTGCACATTTGCTATCCTCTCTTCTGACTTTCGACTAAACCAATATAAACTGCTGGACAGATGGTGATGGCCAGCGTTTCACAGGGACGGATGAGTGGTTATTTACACAGTAATTTATCACACCATGAAGTAGGGCAGCAGTGAAAAGGTGGCAGTGCACCATCAATGTCCTTTCTATGGCTAAAGTAAACACTCAAGCAAAGCCAAATGTACAACAGGTATTCATTGATTTGAACAAACTAAGCAATTAGTTTTCCTACCATTAGCAGGGGTGTGCAAAAATATCAAAATATCAATATACTGTATCGTTTAATGTGATGATATCGTGGGCTGCTATATCGATAAATCACCAAGAGTATTTTGGGGTATTTTTTTACTAAATTATTTTGTTACAGTTTTGTTGCTTGTACAGGGGAAGGAAACTCATTTATGCAACACATTTGACATATTCACTGTTCTGAGGCTTAAAATGGGCATGTTTCCTATGAACTTGCACAAGAAGTGGTTAAACAAAAACTTTTAGTATCACAGCCATGATTTATCCATTTTATGTATTGTATTGGCAACTTCACATCAATGGCCTAATGATTTGGGTATGTGACCTCTACTTTATGTTTCTCTACAAAACAGACACCCAGGATTGTATGTGTAAAGTAGTTTTATATAGCACTATATGGCACTCAAATCAATTTACATGAAGAAACTACTCATACTCCATCACTTATTCTCCCATGCTTCTGTATACACAACACATCCAGTTTCCCAAGAATACAGTGGCAGATTGCTATGTCAGTAGCAGACATGTAGCTCCAAATTCTGGGTATTTTAGGTAAAAACTGCTGTGGTTGATAAATGCACATTGCAGGCTCCATGCACTAAGTCCTAGTTAAACAAGTACCTAGGCCTGTCACAATAATTACAATAGTGACATATTGTTCAATATAATAGATGAAAGATGGAACAATATTTTGGAGGCTCAATAATTATCACATCCACGTTTTTGGTTAATGAGATTGAAGCAGTTGCAGGTTAAACAAGTACCTTCTACAACAATATAAATACTAAGTACTACTTTTATTCTTCCATTACTTGTTGCTCATGCTTTTTTAACAGTATTTTACACATACAGTATATTATTAAATCACTTCTTTTTATTCTCCTACTTTATGGTTATTGTGTCAGTAGGGAGTAGCATAGAGTAGTTTCAATATTATTGTTAATGCAATATATTTATATCTGACACCAGATGGCGTTCAGTGGGGAATGAAGCACCAACTCTACTGTAAACACGCACGTCTACTAACTGGTCTACACCCTTTTATCAAATAACCAATCTAGAATAATAGTAGCAGCCCATGGTACCTGACTGTTCCTTTAGTATCCTCTGTGCGATGCGGTCCATAGTTCCCAGTTTCCCGCTGAAGGTGTCCAGGTACTCCCCCATGGCCGTGTACTCTGCGGGTCGCACCCTTAGCTTGTACCCCCCAGCCACGTACTTCACTGATTCGCCCACTTTGGTCAGCAGAGCCAGACCCTGTCGCTTGTTCAAGTCCTGCAGGTGGAGGCATAGTTCATCCATCAACCTTCTGTTATATGATTGGATCATTTTTAGTATTCCTATATAACTAATAAAATTACATATAAACACTACTTTTTATAGAGTAGTTTAGTTATAGGTCCTGTTTTGCACAGAAATATATCTGATAAATTAAAATTGTTTCATGAAATGTTAGGCTGCTTTCTATATACCAGTAAATCAAATAAGTCAAAATAAGTCAAATGATCCTGGTTCAAAAAGTACATGTAAATGTTCAGTATTTTTACCTCATTTAGAAATGCATTTATGTAGTGTATCTTAAAAGGTGCACTATAAAACTTTCAGCTGTTATTGCTTCTTCCTGAATGTGCCATAATAGCTGCATTAATAGCTAATAATCTATTAATTATGTATCTCAATGGAGATAAGCAGAGGATCTGTGGAAAAGTGACCTTGCTCAAAGAAAGAATCCATGTTCTTTGAGCAATAAAAACACCTTTATTGAAATATATGGTAAATAAATATGTTAAATGCCACACTACTAAGCATGTAGAAAACCCCACCATGAAAGTTAACAAATATAAAAGTGTGCTATTTAAATAGAAATGAGGTCAAACTTAAAATGTCTCATCACACAATTATATCTTTTGTGTTGTACCTTTGCAGTGAGGAAAGCGTTAAAATGTGGGTTGAATGAGAGGACAGGATGGTCAGCCACTCTCTTGAGAAACTTGTCCAGAGCTTTCATCCTGGTCTCCACAAATTCTTCCGAGAAGCGGTCCACCACGCCCTTCATGACAAACTTCTCGGGCAGCGGCTGGATGGGCAGACAGAAACCATGGAGGCGGCCATTTTAAATGAGGCATTTAGAGTCAGTAGTGAGGAATACATGGTTATGTGACCTACAGGGACCAAGTGTGTGGGTTGGCTATCCTCCAACTTGATTCGGAGCCAGTCGAAGTCCTGGTAGCGCCGCCTCACACTGTACTCTGGCAAGTCAAACTCTATCCTTGTCGTCTGTTGAAAAAAATCACAAACAAGAGGCCTAAGTAGATTTAAAATTTTTCTATTTTTTTTTTTTTAAAGACTATGTAGTACAGTGGACAAGTGAGTCTTTTATATTCAAGTGAAGCAATGTAATGATTCAGCCACTAACAAAAAGTTATACAGTAGTTTGGTAGGTAGATTAGTAGAGTTAGTAGTGCACCATTAGGGAAATTTTCTATCAATACTGACAATGTAGGAGTATATATTACAGGTTAATAAAGTAATGACAGCTCATATGGCAACAACATGGATATAAAAAAGCAATTCATTTTCAAGAAATTGTTAAGAAGGGGTGTGCTAAATTACAAACATTGTAAACAATATGTATTTTTAAATTTATTATATCAGCCCAATGTATTGGTTTATCTATACAAAAAGAAAAACAGTTTGGGTTAGCAGAGGACTGACAGTAGATCTATCAATTAGAACATCCCAAGCTGATCATTGATAATATCACAATTGAGCTAAAATTCAATCTTATCTATGTAAAATATCCTTTTTCTTTTCAAAGTCACTCTGCCGTAAGTAATAGCAAGACTAAAGAATATTATTAACCTTCGCACTTCGCGCCAAATTACCTTCATCTGAATCATATATAGGGCATATTATTGCTTTCACAATAAATACAAACAGAATGAATGCTTTGTATCCCGGTGTATAACCACAAAGACAGCACATATGTACAGTAGAGTGCATTAAGCACCAGACATGAGTCACTTCTGGGTCATATAGGATTACATGTGTATTGACCTTGAAATGCAGCTGATGGAGCAGATATTCTTCACTAGTCCCCCACACACATTCAATTAACCGTGGAGTTTAGTGAGGGCCTGTGATATTTGTCTAAGGCCTCTGAGTCTTTCAGCACTCAGCAACTGTCACCATGACGCCACACGGCTGCTCCTGTCTGCAGCCCCATGCTCACAAGGCAAAGTCCATGCAATACCATGCTTCAGTCTAAGGCAGTTGTTTCAGGTTAGGTCTCTAGAGACAGCAGAGACTAGACTACACAGCACATACATTTTGTTTAATTTATTGAACTTAAAGGTTCACTGTGTAACAGGTTACAGGTTCACACTGTTAGCTGCGTGTCTCCAGGGTGGTGATGGAACATTTGATCATGTGACATTAAACATATTTAAAATAAACTTACAGTTTTAAATCTACCATGAAAACCATGCCATTGTTACTGTGAGAGGTATAATAATTTACATGTTACAAGTCTCTGGTCTGTGTCATCACCTGCTTGTCTCAATGGAGATAAATATGTTTAATGCCAGACAATGGAATATCACAGCCAAAACTACATCTCAATGAAAACAAAGGCAGTGGCAAACACTCAACCAGAAAAGTTCCAATATATCTATAGAATGTGATATGTTTAAGAGGATGCTGAAGAACATTCCAGGTAAATAACATTTCCATGGAGATAAGGAGACTTTCGACCTTCCACCAGAAAAGTAGCCCTTTAAGAATGTTTATGGCTTTTCTTTTTTCTTTAAAACCTGTTAAGGGCGATACTATTGTAGAAGGCTTTTATATGCCATTGTAATGGGAGGTTTTAATATACTGATGAAAATGAGTGTAAAGAAGAACATTTTATACTATAGTCAATAAGTCAATAAGAAAAGGTTTAATTTCAATGCATCATCATTGTTACACCAAAATGGGAAATATAATCTCAGGTAAAAAGTGGACATTTTGGTTAAAAAGAAAACTGGAAATACTCATAGATTATTATTCATTCAACACTTTATGGTAAACTACTTCCATAGCCACATCTGCCCTGGGGTTGTTCATTGAAGGTATTTAATTTGCACTTTGGCAAGTTGAAATTACTAACAGTATAATATAATAGTGATTGAAACTTTCAGTATTGACAAACCCTAAACTCACTAATTGAAATACAGAATAGTTTAGTTTTAACATCATAACATAACGTGATTTGGAGTTTGAATATTTGTGTGTACTTTGATTAGACAAAACACTGCTGCACACTGGAGTGAGCAGGCAGCCGCTAACCTTGGTGGACACTCTGTAGGTGATGTAGGTTTCCATGGTGGACACGTGCTTCTTTGGGTCGTCCACTGTCACAAAAAGGTCCTTGGTTTCTGAGGAGGCGTCTCCATCCATTTCATCATCCAACTGGAGCCGATTGAACAGTGAAGACACAGATGCGGGGCTTGACGTCTCTACCGGCGTGCCATTGGTCAGCCCAGCATCCTGTGGACACCATGATGACAGAAACAAAAGCAGTGATAGATTGTTGCAGTGCTTTTTCAATACAGCTCTTGTTAAGCTGCAACTGGTACAACGTGACAATAATTCTATTCTCACGGGCCAAACTGAATAGACAGAAACTGGTAAAGAATTCATGGCACAAGTTCATGATTTGTGTGCACTGATAAAACTATTTATTTTTAAGACAGTGATACCAAATTCACCTGAAATAATACTGGTATATTGAGCAAAGTTTATACATGAGTCTGACCCTGATGACCTAAACAAAGACATGGAAAAATTGAACAGGTGTGGAAATTGTGAAAGTAAATACAAAATTTCACTAACAATGACTCAAGAGGAAATAGAGGAAATGTTGATATGGCAGGTATATGCATCTGATAATGTAATCTTATATTTTACAAGCTGATCAGATCTTGTTTCAGTCTTGGGAGTCGACTTGAAGAAACAATGTTGACAGCTGAAGTTGAACAGTAACTATGGTTATGCACAGAGTTGGTGCCAAGTAGAAACACATTTCTTTTGTAGAATAATGGTGGATTATAATGTATTGAAGTAGAGGGCTAAAGACAAGTTAATGGTAACAGTAATACAATCAATCACACTTTGTCAGACTAAAATTGTTAAGTCCCGAAAAAGCATTTTGCAACTTCCTCATTCAAACTGTGTCAGAAAAAGTGCAATGTCTGTCCACACAGACGTTTAAAATCGAAACAACAATGAGAGTGCAGCTGGACAGCTAGCTTTTCCCAGTGCAGCACTAACCCTCACTGGTAATCACAGTTTACAAAATTGCATTACATAGCATCATCACATCATGACAGGCTAACCACAAACACCAGAGCTCAGGATCTGAGGTCACAAAGTGTAAATTTAAAAGTATTACTTATCCATTCATTGCAGCCTATTGCTTTAGTAAGCATTTCAACAAGCACTGGCTGTGCAAATTCAACAGTACATTTGCATTAATGCTACCCCCATAAAGACAATCTCCAAATGGAAAGAATGCCAAAAAATGTTTATACACAGCCACATTTTCATTTAAGTTTCATAAAATAGCAATATTATATTGAACATGTCTTTTTGGCAAATCATGTGTATTGTGATGTGTTTTTACTCATAAGCTGTTTGATAATTTTGAAGCCAGTATACATAGAATAATTTATTTACTAAAATATGTTAGCTTTAATTGACAACATTAACAGTTATTTACAGAAAGGTGTAATCTCCATCAGTTTATGGTCACATAACTGTTACTCAGTTTATGCATAGATGTTCTGCCACAGTAACAGATGGCAACATGTGAAGACTCACTGTTCGTTTAGAACCATTGCTGTGCTTCATTCAATGCTTAGCGCCAAAGTGAGTTAGATTGTTTTTTTGTTTTTTGTTTTACTTTTTGCGTGATTGCTCGGGTAGACCAGACCGTACCTTGTCGCTAGCAGTGTTCACGGTGACTTCTGGCCCCGGGGAGAGAGGCTCCTCCGCGGCGGACAGCGGGTGGGTGATCTCCGTGATGGGCTTCTGCCCTGAGCTGGCCAGGCCCTTCGGAGCACCGACACTCATGGTGCGTCTGGCGGGAAGACGAGTGTCGGGAACAGGGGCGACGACTGTCCGTCTCTCCGCGGCTGAAGAACTGATCTCGGACAAAACAAGGCGTTTTCTTGGTTTTCAGGGTTTGATCTGTGGAGATGCTACGGCGCTGTTTCCAACTGTCAGCTGACAAACACAACGCAACTCCGGAAGTTAATCTCAGCAAACCGGAAGTAAACACATACGTCACGTGACAATTAAGGATGAAGGGCAGATCGTTTATAGAAAAAATGGGCCACACGCCTGATTTTTATTATTGTTAAAAGTGTAATTTTTGTATAGCAAAATATATCATATACCTCTAATACTGTTTTTAAAAATACTTACATATTTATTTTTAGATAGTTACACTTTCTAATTATAAGATATGACCGAGTTGAGATAACCACCAGAGTGAGGCATTGTCTTCTACATGTTCCGGTAGTCACGCTAAAAGCCGGTGAACCAGCGCACAATGCGGCTGTGCAGGCTCCCAAAATCTATAGTTTTTATGCCGTTTTAAACCCTAAGTTATCGATTGCCTTGTGTACACTAACACATACAGGGTCATAGTTCATAAGTGGATACAAACATTCCCCAAACAGCGTAATTTTGGTGTATTTATTGACAACTAACCATCATTGTCTGTTGGGCTGCTGAGAAGAACTGAACTCTTCATAGACTTTGCCTGTTGTGACCTGAGTGAATTTTACTGATATGGCTGCTAATGCTCCAGGTAAAGTTATTACGTGTCTAATCTTGTCCTTTCAGTTTGGCTTTGTACATGATCTGAAGTATTTCCACTCCTTTCGCATATTGTTTTTTTGTTTAAGGACTGACTGTTGTTGAATAGGCTGCACATGATGAACAGTTGAAAGAAATGTGTGAATAACGTGGGTGATAAGTATTCACACGATGGGATTATAGCATGTTCTTCAACTGTTTTATTTGTTTAGAATATATTTATTTAACATAGATGTGTATTTTAATCATGCTATACTATGTACATGTATCCTGGATCTGTAATGAGCTGTCCAACTTGACTTTATCCTTAGCCTTCCAGAGGAAGGCCATCATTGCTGAGCTAGAGAAGGAGAGGAGACGACTCATCCAGACCAGCCAGTCCATGAACACCCCTGGGGCTAGGTACTGGAAATCACAAGAGATATTTTATTTTCATATGAAAGAGATTTTTTTTTTTTTCTCAAATGTTGCCTTATTTTCCTATAGCATTTCTCTTTCAAGACCCATGAAAGAATTCAGGGACAATGCAGAGCAACAGCATTTTGCAGCACAACAAAAAGCTGCTTTACAGGTAGGCTATGACACATTAATACAAATATGATAATATAAAACTAAAATAAATGCGCACTATGTAACTGTTTCTCCTGCTTGTCTCCATCGAGATGTTATTGCTTTGTCTGGAATGTTTCACAGTATGGTATCAAACTTATTATCTTGCATTAATCAGTTTGTTGCACAAAAATTTAATGAAAACATGTCATTTTATTGACACAGGCTCACACCACCAGATTGTCTTCATGGACATAAATACATTTAATGGCATATTGCTGAACATTTTGGAAAAAGCAATAGCAGCTCTATTGGGGAGCAGTGCTTGGCAGACCTTCTTAAGAAAAGTTGTACCAAATCCATTTCCCATGTCCAAATAATTTCCCTTGTGGATCAATAAAGTTTACCTAAGTCTACCTAGTTAGTTAGGTAGTTGTACTATCAAAAATAATTACTCTGGATGTTTTTTATTCCCTGTGTATTTATTAGTATTTTTCATTTTTGCTGTGAATTATCCCTTTTTAACAGCACATTAACTAATTGCCCTGTCTTGCAGCATGCACATACACACTCGACTGGCTTTTTCATCACTCAGGATTCGTCTTTTGGCAACCTTATCCTCCCTGTCATCCCACGACTTGAGCCCCATTCGTGACCTTTTACCTTTGCTGTAGGATATATGAACTGTGCTTACAGATCTTACACAAATTATCAATGTCTCCTTTAATCTTGTCTTTTAAGGCATTTATTGTCATATTATGAACATTCTCAGGGGAGTAATGTGTCATTTAATTTTGTTGAACATTTGAATTGCTGGTTTAGATAAATATGTACCATCAAGGTTACAATATAAATGCCCCACAATAATTAGAGATGGAGTGTACGTGTAAATGTTGTCACCAATCACAATTACCCTGAACTGTACATTTTGGCATTTTTACATTCTTATTCATTTGTAATCATATTTGAATAATAAAAATGTTCAACACGAGTCTATTTCTAACATTTTTTCTTGCTCTGGATCTATGCGCACAGACAAAAGTACATCTAAACATGCAAGTTACTAATACATTTCTAATGATACCTGGACGTAATCTATTAAACAACTGACCCGCTAGTTTCCTCTTCGAACCGCATTTTGATGTTTGACGTATACAGGCTGAGTTTTCATTTGGATTTTTTTTTTATGTCAAGTCAAAGACCGACACCCAGTGGACAAAATGTGAAAATGCTTAGTTATTGTTTTGTAATATTTCCGTTTGTTTATTTGTGCTTTTGGATCAAGATTTGTACTCGTTTATCTGTTTTTCTTGTTCTGGTAACCGGATAGCAAAGTCAGCTGTTTCCTAAAAACTTCGTGATGTTTTGTCGGTGAACTTATGAGTAATGTTTGACATAATTATTTTCTGTCAAACAACTGTAATCTAAAATAATGAAACTGTTTTAAGATTTAAATTCTCCACAACAAAAATACCTTAATATCATTTCAAAGTTCCACCGTTATTTCAATGGGATCCCAGTTTCACGAGGCTATTATTAGCAATGCTGTAAAGTGGAAAATAATTAAGTCAGCATTGGCCAATTAGAGTTGCTTTTTTTCATTAAATTGGATTAAGTATTGTAAAATGTATCTTTCTTTTCTTTCTTTTTAAGTTGGGTCTATAAACAGGGCTTTTTTCCATCTATAAACTGAGTGACTTGACTAAACTTGTAACTGGCTCCTCCCCTCTATTAGTCATGAGTCTAGTACGTGTTGGGACTGGTGCCTTGAGCGCACAAGCATCTCGGCGCTGTGCAAGAAAGAAGGACTTTTCCCTGGCCTTATCTGGAAAAAGAACTCCGCTATTTTTGTTTGGCAATCTTGATAAACCCTACACTTGTGTGTGACGTGCCTCTATTTCTGATTGGACGTAGCTTGGACCGTTAGAAATTGGCCCATTTGTGCGCTTTTTCCATGTTGGATTAAGTTTGCGTGGAAAGAAATGTTATCTGAACCCACTCCGAGAGTAGGTGGGAGCAAGATACGAGTCTGGTAATGCATACATCTTCATTACAGGACTGGGATGTTTTGCTGAACTCCAAGCAAAACTAGCTGAAAGTCTGTCGCTGCTTGTGCGTAAAACGGAAAAAGTTGCAGACCGAAAAGCGCAAGTTTGGAGTAGATGAAAGATGGCTTTAAAGGCGAGAGTTTTGTACGACTTCACCTCTGAAAACCCTGGAGAGATTTCCATTTATGAAAACGAGCTGGTCACTTTGTTCAGCGAGGAGGAGCTTGAAGGCTGGCTGGAGGGCGAGAACAGCCGGGGTGAGAGTGGCCTCCTCCCGGCGTCTTATGTGGAAATCATCCGGGCAGCGATCACCCCCACCACCGCTAATAACAACGGCTTCTCTTCGCCCAAACCCACCAGCCATTCCTCCTTTGCGTCCCCGGAGTCCCAGAGAGGAGGGGGTGGTGGAGGGGTAGGGGGCGGCAGTGGAAGTGGAAGCTGCGGGGGTAGCTTCCACACCAGCCAGGGTAGTGATGACGACTGGGACGATGACTGGGATGACACCTCACCTGCCACCGCCAATCCTCCGCGGACTTTAGGCACCACGCCCCCGCTTTACCCCGTCACCACGTCCCTGCCAGCGAGAAGGAGTAGCACCCAACAACAGCAGCAACCCAAGAGCACGGCTACGGTGGGACGGAACTTGAATAGGTTTTCAACTTTTGTCAAGTCTGGAGGAGAGGCCTTTCTGCTGGGAGACGCCAATGCGCTTGTGAGGGATGGAGATAGGATCTGTGTGGTCATGGGGAAGCACGGGCCAGAGTGGCAGGAGGACCCTTATCCGTTCACGTGTACTATTGATGATCCAACCAAGCAGACGAAGTTCAAAGGCATGAAGAGCTACATGTCTTATGGGCTGACTCCAACACACACCAATGTACAAGTCAATCGCAGGTAATATTTGCATTAGGATCCCCAGATTGCCAACTTTGAGTGTTATTAACATCTATAGCGTCTATTGCCACAGCCGCCTGGGGACTGATTGACAGAATGTTGCAGCCAAAATGTGCCAATGCCTTTTACCACTAAACACACAATCACTCTAATAAGCATTATGTGGGGAAAGAGGAATAACAATGATTTTATTTATTGTCAATAACTTTTTCACACAAAGTCATTGCTTTGTACTAAACATTGACGATATGGGTATTTTCATAGCCGATGCCGATACCGATTATTTAGAATCCAGAGCAACCAATAGCCGATAAGCTCTGCCGATATTTTTGCGCAAATTGGGCTGATATTTATTATTTTCTTCAAATTATCCAATTTAAATTGACTACAAACTCACCCACAACCCTTTACCACAAACCCTTAATTATTACGAAGTGTTCAAATAAAGCTTTGTGTGTATTTTAGGCAGAAGATCGACCAAAACAAAATATCATCTGGTGCTGGTAATTTAAAAAGTCCTAATATTGACTGTCTATCTCTCACCCCACCTTTCTTAATCACATAAAAGTACGTGGCTGAAGTGTCTTGCCCAAGGGTACAACAGGCCGTGCTTATAGGTTTTTGAAGACATGTTATTACAAGCTTTCAAACAGGATCTAATACATGAAAGTTTCTGTTAGTAAGACCCATTGGCCACCTTTCTCGAACTGGACCAATATAGAATTTTGACTACTTGTTTTTGCATCTGTATCAGCTTTTTTCTTATTAGTTGAATGTCTATTCTACTAAATCAGTGCATGCATCGTCTGGCCAGTCTGGCATAAAAGTGTTGAATGTCAGTCAAATTTCCCTTGCCAGTCTTCAATAGAAGAGCAACAGCATCCAAAAGAAACTTAATACCACTGGCAACTGAAACTTGGTTGAGTCTTGCTTCTTCTATGAAAACCACCCATAACTCACAAACAAGGAACCAGCACATCTTTTATCATTTGACCATTTCACACTGTACAATGGTGTTCATTTGGATATTTTAGTTGTTCCTGCTTAATGGCAAAAACAGATTTTACAGACTCCTGTCATAGTCTCCTCCTCTGGGAGTTACTCTTTCCACATTGTTTTCTTGACTCTAGGCCTCTCATGCTTTACTAAAGAAAATTAAGTTTCCATTCAATCCACTTGAGGAACCATCTCACCTCAGGCTGTCCAGGCGTGCTTTTAATTATCCTTTTGCAAACTCATAGTTATTGCTCAATTATATGCAATAGAAGGAAGGACAGTTTTTAAAAGGGAATGTACAGCAGTATGAAGCAAAACTCATAAGCTACTGTTGCCACAGCTGCCTGCGGGTTTTAGACAGTATGACTGCCAGTCTGCACCACTAATCACTCACCTCATTGATAGTCCATTGAATACGCACTGTCATTCCATTTTGAGAATTCCCAATACTGTCTTGTCTTGCCTTAGGCAAGTCCTTCATCCACCTTACTTAATGTGTGACTGAGTGGTGGACAGAGAAGCCAATGGCTCAAATTGGTGCTTGATCACTGCACCCAGTCTACTTCAGGGCAGCTGTGGCTACAAAAGTAACTTGCTATGTGGATTGAATGAGCAACATCTTTTAGAGTCCAAAAATAATAACAATAATAATAATGGGTCAGTTTTATAGCACTTTTCTGGACACTCAGAGACATTTTACAGAACATTATTCATTCACTCCAGTGGTGGTAAACTACTACTGTAACCACAGCTGCCCTGGGGCAGACCAACAGAAGCAAGGCTACCATTCTGCTCCGTCGGCCCCTCCGACCACCACCATCACACTCACACACCATTTTCATACTAGGCAATGTTGGTGAAGTGCCTTGCCTAAGGACACAGCAATAGTTTTTGCCACTGATGGCCCACTGTGGCACCTGATCTTCCCAGTACTACCTAGGCCCTGCCCTGCTTAGTTTTTGAGATCTGACGAGATCAGTCTTTGACAAGCCAGTGTGGCCACAAAATAATATACGCTGTGTGCATAATTATTACTTGTATTTATGAGGATTCATTTTTATAATTGAACAACTATAGTTCTCTCAGTCAATCAAAAATGTTAATAAACCTCAAACCTGAATAATTAAGAAAGTAAAAGTGAAGTTTTGGCTTTCTTCAGAGAAAATCTATTTGGTCACAGTTATTGGGCAGCAAAATGAAAAATACATATTTTCTATTCTCACTTGTTTATTTTCATCTGTCAGAATAGTAAACAACTCAAATTTACAAATAAACATTTCTGACATATCAGAAAAGGAAAAAAAATCAGGGACCAATATCTGATCAACTTTTTGTGCAGCTGTAATCACAGCCTCCCAGACACTGTTCAGAGAGGTGTACTGTTTTCTTTGACTGTAAATCTCCCTTTTAAGAAGGACCCACAATGTCTTCTAAAATTGGCAGGTTTTGGGGTTTATTTTGAGTCCATCTTCAACCCGAAAAGGTCCAAGAAGCCCATCTTTAACAATACCATACCAGTACCCCACCTCCACCTTGCTGGCGTCTGAGTCGAAGTGGAGCTCTGTGCCCATTACTGATCCAACCATGGGCCCATCCATCTGGTCCATCAAGAGTCACTCTTATCTCATCAGTCCATAAAACCTTTGAAAAATCTGTCTGCAGATATTTCTTGCCTGGTCTTGACGTTTCAGCTTATGTTTGTTGTTCAGTGGTGGTCGGGTTTCAGCCTTCCTTACATGGGCCATGTCTCTGAGCTCTGAACACCTTGTACTTCTGGTCTCTCCAGGTAGGTTGCAGTTCTATATATGACAGCATTGAAGGATAATGGGTTCCTGGTAGGTTCATGTTTGATTCTTCTCATTTGAGTCTTTTTTTCTTAACACGTCTTGCGACACTGTTCGCAACAAAATGTTTGATGGTTCTGTGATCATGCCCAAATATCTTTGCAATTTCAAGAATGCTGCGTCCCTCTGAAAGACTTTTCAGAGTCGGTTAAATCTCATTTTGCTTGAGGAAAAGAAGTTGCCTAATAATTCTGCACCCCTTGATATAG